CGTTAACGTGGGCCGGATCTATCAAGGAGGTCCAGGCGGGCTGGGTGCTAGGAGGTGGAACAAGGCACCCACGAGGTTTGTGAGTGGGACCACCCTGCCAGCTGGACAGAGATGTGGCGATGGCCTAGGGAAACTGTGCCAGGCGCTCTTGTGGGGTAGGCAGGCAGGAGAGCCCCTGAGTGCCACTGGCTGGAGTTAAGCAGGTGAACAGCAGATGCTCCTTGGAATGGAATCTGGTCCGTAGTAAGTGACGAAGACACGTGTTTTGATTCTGTATCTAGGACCTCCAGGAGGTAAAGGTTGATGATCCAGGCAAGTGGCCGTCAGCAAGGGAGCACGTCAGGAGGTGGCTGGGGGCTGCACAGACAGCCGGGGACACTGTCCTAGGTGTGACCTTGGGCCACAGAGCAGGGTGGTGGACTTGCTGCCAGAATTGAGCTCCAAGGCTGAAGCCAGCCCCTCTGATCTGGCGTTGGCCAACTCCGTCCACCGTTTGAGGCTTACTGCTGAAGAGACCTCCTGTGAGAGGAGCTGGGGATGCCAGAGTCCCGGGGGGAGTGAGTGCTATGTGGCACATAGGCCAGGAGAAACGTGTGCTGGGGGCAGGTGTGGGCTCTCCCGGGAGTCTCTGCATAGACTTTCCAGCCCGGAGGTTCAGGTGATGGAGCAGGGACTGGCTGCTTTGTGACACTGACGACGGTTGATAAAGTGGATTCTGAAGTGGAAACTGCGTCCACACAGAGGCTGGAATGTGAACGTGCATCAGGGCTCTGTCTGATCCCCAAAGGCGCCCGGCCATGAAGTTCATTTTTAAAAATTAGATTCTCAGCCGGGCACGGCGGCTGATGCCTATAATCCCAACACTTTGAGAGGCCAAGGCAGGCAGATCACCTGAGGTCAGGAGTTCAAGACCAGCGTGGCCAATATGGTGAAACCCCAACCTCTACTAAACATACAAAAATGTGCTGGGCGTGGTGGTGACACCTGTGGTCCCAGCTACTCAGGAGGCGGGGGCACGAGAATCACTTGAACCCAGGAGACCGCAGGCTGTGGTGAGCCGAGATGGCCCCACAGCACTCTAACCTGGGCAACAGCGTGAGAATCTGTTTCAAAAAAATAAAGGTCAGTTTCTTGTACTTTGCTCCCTAACAGTGGAATCAGCATTCAGTCATCTGCTTTCCAGAGCACCGCAGCTGACGGGCCGGCCCTCAGGCTGGCTTGTCGGGACCCTGGTTCTTCTGGCCCAGTGAGGAGTGACATGTGCCCCTGGGTGGGGACCGCCTGGTCTCCTGGGGCTCTGCTGTCCCAGGTGGGGGCCAGATGATGGGCTGCAGGGTGGCCCCCACCCTGTGCAAACTCAAGGTCTGGTCAAATACATCATCTCTAGTGCAAAAAAGGCACTCTGAGACAGCAAGTCTGGTCTGCCCAGCGCGCCTGAGGCTCTGCTCTCAGGGGCCCTGCCCACACCGGGGGCTGCAGGGTGTCCGGGCGAGCACTGACTTCTGACCCTTGCTGCCTGGACCGGTGCTGGCTCTACTGCCGACTCCCGGTGTGGCCGCCCGTGGCGCACTCAGCCTCTCGTGCCTCCGTGCTCACGTGTCTACTGGGGCAGGGAGGGTGTCCTGCCAGGGTTGTCTGGGAATGCGTGGGAGGTGTTTGACGCGGACCGTGGCACACAGTTAAGCCCCGAGAAAGTGGTCTTGTTGCCCCCGTGCCTTCTCTGTCCTTTCTGTCTAGGGTATTAACTTCCTATTGCTGCTTTAATGAATCAGCCCAAAGCGTGGTCACATAAAACAGCAGTAGAACTCACTCACCCACTGTGTGTGGAGTCAGCAGTGCGGGAACGACTTAGCTGGGTGCTGCGGGGCTGCAGGTGAGCTGAGGCCAGGGCTGGGCTTATCTGAAGGTTTGACGGGCCAGAGGACCTGCCTGTAGGATGGCCCTCTCAGGGCACGAGGCCAATCCTTCCACACAGGCTGGCCCCGATGCTCACACGTCCTTGTGACGTGGCCATCTCCGGAGCAGAGCCAGGCAGAAGCCGTCCTTTCTGTGACCCAGCCTTGGCAATCACATAGCACATTTCTGCAAGGCTGTTCATCACATGCAATGAGAAGCCAGGCCATGGTCAGAAAGGCAAGAGGACCCTTCCACCTTCCGAGGGGAGGGGCACAAGCGATTCAGGCCCATTTCTAGACCATGACCAGAGCTCTTGTACCCACGGTTTCAGGGGAGCCTAGGGCCCCGTGTCTGGGAGAGGTGACTTAATGCCCCCTAGGTGGAGAACAGCCAAAGGTGGTGGGAGTGAGTCTGGCATCGGTGGCCCCTGAGTGCTGTGCAGCTTCTGCAAACCCCCGAGAGGTGGAGCAGGGGCCTGCATGGAGGGCAGTCTGTGGCGCCAGGACAGCGGGTTTCCCAGGCATGTGGGGTGGACCTCCACGGAGGGCCTTGCTCCAGGTACATGAATGGCTGCGGTGGGGGCAGCCAGCGGCTGGCACAGTGGCTGCTCTGGGAATGTGGAGGGGCAGCTGGTGCCACATCAGAGCCTGCCGCAGTGCCCGCCATGGGACCACACTCGGTGCCCTTCCAGAGGGCCAGGTGCTGCATGTGGGGGTTGCAGAGCCACTCAGGAGCAGTGCCGCGAAGAGCAGGGGCCGCCGGCTTCCCCGCTGAAGCTGTGAGACGTGCGTGGAAGGAAAGGGGGAGCCGGTGGAATTCCTGCGGAGTCACCGCCTTTGTGTAGGAAACCAGAACAGAAGTCTTTAGCTTAAAATACGCACAGGCATGTGGGAGTGAAAAGCATTGATTCCCACACTGGGGGGCCTGTGAGCCTCCTGGCTCTGCACAGATTTCATGGCGGTTTGGATATTTTAAATGAGATACTAAATCAAATAAAAATTACGATGCCGACCTCAAGTTAATCACGGTCAAAATGTGGGTGCGTTCCTTCCAGTCTCTCCATGTTTCTTCCTTTCTTGTTTGCATGGGAGAGTGTGTGCGTGCGTGGCGTGGTTATACATACGGTGTGTGTTGTGTGTCTGAGACTGTGGTGCATATGAGTGTGTATGGGATGGGGGGCTGTTGCAGTGTGTAGTGTGTGGTACGGTGTGTGTGTGTATGGTGTAGAGGGTATGGGGTACATGGGGCAGTGCATGTGGGATGTGGTGTGTGTTTTGCACTGTGCTGTGTGATTTGTGCATGTGTGTGATTTGCAGTGTGTGCTGTGTGTGTTTTGCAGTGTGGTGTGGTTTGTGGTGTGGTGTTTGTGGCGTGGTGTGCTGTGTGGCATATGTGTGGTTTGTGGGGTAGTGTGCGTGTTGTGTGTGTGTGGTTTGTGGTGTGGCGTGTGCCATGTATGTGGTTTACGATGTGTGTGTGGTTTGTGGTGTGCTGTGGTGTGTGTGGCATGTATGTGGTTTGCGGTGTATGCATGGCATGTGTGAGGTTTGTGATGTGGTGTGTGTTTGGTTTGTGGTATGGTGTGTGTGCACTGTGTGTGCCTTGTGGTATGGTGTGTGCAGTGTGGTGTGCAGCATGTGTGTGTGAGCACGTGTGTGGTTTGTGGTGTGATTTTTGGTATGTGGGGCATGTGTGTGGTTTGTGGTGTGTGTGTGGTGTGTATGTGTGGTTTGCTGTGTGGTGTGTGGTACGGTGTGGCATGTGTGTGGTCTGGTGTGTGTGTGTGGTTTGCAGTTTGTGGTGTGTGTGATGTGTGTGTGGTTTGTGGTGTGGCATCTGTAGTGTGTATATGGTTTGTGATGTGTGTATGGTGTGTGTGTGGTTTGCAGTGTTTTATGTGTGTATGGTTTGTGCTGTGGTGTGTATGTGTGTGTGGCATGTGTGTGGTTTGTGGTGCGGTGTGCTATGTGTGGTGTATGTGTGGTTTGTGCTGTGGTGTGTGTGGCATGTGTGTGGCTTGTGTGTGGTGTATGTGTGGTTTGCAGTGTGTGTAGCATGTGTGTGGTTTTCAGTGTGGGATGTGTGTGTGGCGTATGTGTGGTTTGTGGTGTGTGTATGGCATGTGTAGTGTGTGTGGTTTGGGATGTGTGTGCTGTGTGTGTGGTTTGTAGTGTGTGTGGCATATGTGTGGTTTGTGGTGTGCTGTGTGTGTGTGGCGTGTGTACGGTTTGTGATGAGGTGTGTGTGTGGCATGTGTGTGGTTTGTGGTGTGGTGTGTGTGGCGTATGTGTGGTTTGTGTTGTGTGTGTGTTGTTTGTGGTGTGGCATGTGTGTGATTTGCAGTGTGTGCTGTGTGTGTTTTGCAGTGTGGTGTGGTTTGTGGTGTGGTGTTTGTGGCGTGGTGTGCTGTGTGGCATATGTGTGGTTTGTGGGGTAGTGTGCGTGTGGTGTGTGTGTGGTTTGTGGTGTGGCGTGTGCCATGTATGTGGTTTACGATGTGTGTGTGGTTTGTGGTGTGCTGTGGTGTGTGTGGCATGTATGTGGTTTGCGGTGTATGCATGGCATGTGTGAGGTTTGTGATGTGGTGTGTGTTTGGTTTGTGGTATATGTGTGGTGTGTGTGAGGTTTGTAATGTGTGTGGTGTATGTGTGGTTTGTGATGTGTGTGGTGTGTGGCGTTTGCAGTGTGCTTTGGTGTGTGTAGGGTGTATGTGGTTTGTTGTGTGGTATGTGTGCAGCATGTGTGTGATTTGTGGTGTGCTGTGGGGTGTGTGGTTTGTGGTATGCTGTAGCGTGTGTGGTTTGTGATATGGTGTGTGGTGTGTGTGTCAGCATGTGGTGTGTGTGGTGTGGTGTGCGGTGTGTGTCTGAGCGTGTGGTGTGTGGTTTGTGGTGTGGTGTGCAGTGTGTGAGCATGAGGTGTGTGTGGTGGTGTGTGGTGTGGTGTGTGGTATGTGTCTGAGCGTGTGGTGTGTGTGGTGTATGGTGTGCTGTGTGGCGTGTGTGTCTGAGCAAGAGGCATGTGTGGGGTGTTCCCGTGAGGGTGCGGGCGCAGGCCCCGTGATGCTGCCCCTGACACTGTCCCCGTCCCCCATGTCTCTGCAGGACGGCCGTCCTGAGCGAGGGGCCGTGCACCCGCTCCTGAGCAGCGCCATGGGCCTGCTGGCCTTCCTGAAGACCCAGTTCGTGCTGCACCTGCTGGTCGGCTTCGTCTTCGTGGTGAGCGGTCTGGTCATCAACTTTGTCCAGCTGTGCACGCTGGCACTCTGGCCGGTCAGCAAGCAGCTCTACCGTCGCCTCAACTGCCGCCTCGCCTACTCACTCTGGAGCCGTGAGTGTCCGTGGCCGTCCCTGCCGCCCGGGGCTCCCGTGGGAGTGGGGCGGGACCATGGATGGGGCGGGCGTGGGCCCTCGGGTGGAGCCTGAAGCGAGGGCTGCACGGTGGTGCTGGGGCCACCTGGCTGGCGGGCTGTGGGAAGGCGCCCGGCCACCACGTTTTCTTAACCTGAGTCGTGGGACTTGCCAGTCTGACCATTCTGACCCACAGCAATGGCAGCTTCCCACAGTTTACCAGAGCATGTGGGAATCTTTAAACAAATAAAAGTAAAGAGAATGATGAGCTCTGTTCACCCGTTACCAAGCTCCAGCGGCTGCCCACACGACCATCTGTGCGTCCTGCTCACCCCGACACCAGGGCACACTGAAGCACATTTCAGCATTCCTAAAAGCAAGGGGCTCCTGCATGCCTTCACATCAAACACATGCAGCTGTGTGTCTGTCTGTGCCTCCGTGTGTGTGTGTGTGTGCTTACACGCAGAGAAACGGGTCTTCGCCTATCATGCAGACAGAGACTTAGAAGCTTGGTGACAACACCCACCCCACATGGACAGGTAACTCTCATGCCGGGCGTGGCGGGGCGGGAACAGGCACATCTCCGGAGGCTGGCTTGGCAGTGGCTTTCAACAGCTGGAGTGGTTGCAATCTTCAACTCAGTAATTCTGCAGAATGACATGCAGCCACAGAGACACGTGCACAGGTACACAGCTGGACAGGTGTTCTCATGAGTGTGTCACTTCATACTAGCACAGAAGTAACAGCAACCTAAGTGCCTGTCACCGAAGACTCACTATGCTATGCCCTACAGGGACTCTCTGCGGCCATCCCCAAGAGCCTTCAGCTTCCACAGACAGTTTTTTTGAGACGGAGTTTCACTCTTGTTACCCAGGCTGGATTGCAATGGCGCGATCTCGGCTCACCGCAACCTCCGCCTCCTGGGTTCACGCAATTCTCCTGCCTCAGCCTCCCGAGTAGCTGGGATTACAGGCACGCGCCACCATGCCCAGCTGATTTTTTGTATTTTTACCACAGACAGTTTTAAACGAAAAAGAAAGGCTACAACAAAGTGCCTAGTATGCTGTGATTCATTTTGTTTCTTGAGGAAGGACGCTGTGTGTGTGGTGTGTACATGTGTAGGAAAATACCAGAAGGAACCAGGCGCGGTGGCGCATGCCTGTAATCCCAGCACTTTGGGAGGCCGAGGTGAGTGGATTACCTGAGGTCAGGAGTTCAAGACCAGCCTAGGCAACAGGGTGAAACCCCGTCTCTACTAAAAATACAAAAAATTAGCCAGGCGTGGTGATGTGTGCCTATAGTCCCAGCTACTCGGGAGGCTGAGGCAGGAGAACTGCTTGAACCTGGGAGTGGAGGTTGCAGTGAGTCGAGATCACACCACCGCACTCCAGCCTGCACGACAGAGCGAGACTCTGTCTAAAAAGAAAAAGAAAAAGAAAAGAAAAATCCCAGAAGGATGGCTGAGAATGCTGTGCGGTGCTGATACCCAGGGCGTGGGGCAAGGGGGGAGGTTACATGTTATTCCCACTCTCCTGCTGTTGCCACGTTTTCACGTGAGCACACATGCATTTTGTCTCACATGGGAAACAGTGGGCCTGTAGCCCTTGTCTCCATGTCCTTCCAACTCAGGAGCAGGCAGCACTGCTGAGAAGGCCATTTATGTCACAGCTAACTCTCTGCCTGCGACACCTCACTGCCTGCAGAGAGACTGGTAACCCGGCCCTTAGGCCAGCCTGCCTTGAATGTGTTACAGCTTCAGCTCCTGGTTTGTTTTTTAAATAAAAGGCTGCTGCTTTGTTTGTGGGAAGGAAGAATTAGAAATCCTGTAATATAAAATACACAAATGAGTTATTCGTGAATGTAACTGGGTAAGAGGAATACATACACAAAGGGCGAATATTAATTAAAGAAAACTAAATTACAGACTCCTACTTTCTAGCAGGATTCTGAAGCTAAAACACTACAAAACAGCTAAATCCTGGATGAAACTAGCTTTTTAATGCACTTCCAAGTTCACAGTAAAGAAAAAAATCCTCTCAGCTTCACTCTTCCACCAAATCCCTTTAGCAAAAGCCAGGGTGTATGTGCAAAAATGGAACGCCCGCACTGCGTTTCAGGAGCCGAGGCCCTGGGCAGCCGTAACAGAGGGAGCTGCCATGAAAGCAGGACTCCTGAGCAAGGGCACAAGACGAGCCAGGCCGACAGAAGCAGGACTCCTGAGCGTGGGCACGAGACGAGCCGGGCC